CCGGGTCCGGGACTCGAACAGCGGTCGACTACATGGGAGTCCAGTGACATAGCCATTACGCCAACTGCTGGTTCCCAGTAAGTTGCTTTCTGATCTCCCCACTTGTTTTACATTATATTTAGGAATTTTATGAGGGTTCTTAAATTAAAATGGAAGAATAAAAATAATAAAACTCAGCATGAGAAATGTATAAAGAAGCAAGATAAAATTGACATGGTGGGAACCAGCAGTTAGCGTAATGGCTATGTTGCTGGACTCCCACATAGTCAACCGCGGTTCGTGTCCCAGACCCGGTGGCTTAAAACTCACACCGGGCGCGTGTGCGTGCGTGCCCAAGATCCCGAGAGGAGAATGGAGGAGAAGGGATGTGGCGTGACCATCCCCCCTGGGGGGGTGATTTCTCGCTTTCTGTCTCTATGTCTCTCTCTGTCTGTCTGGCGAGCGCACACGCCCTACAGTGAAAATCTCTCAAAAAAAAAAATTGACATGGTGAAATAGGCATGTTATCAGACCTTAGAGCCCTGTGAGATGAGTACAAAGTGTTCTCTATTTTTTCTGATACTATGGGAAAAACATATTTATTACATGGTTTGAATTGACTCTAAGGGGGTAGCATGCTAAATTCTCAAGAGATATGAATCATGAGATAGTTTTTATTGGTCACATAGATAATAGGTTTCACATAGAGGATAGTGTTTCCCAGCTAACCTGAAAATGAACATTCAGTGTTCTACAATGGTAACTGTTACTGATGGCTAAAACACAAACCACTCAGTAACTGTTTCTAGAGTTGCTCATATAGCATGGTCCCAGACAACTCCTACAAGTATCTACTTGATACATAGTTTAAACCTGGAATGTGTGGCAGGAAACTACTACAGGTTCCTGAAGAACTCTCCATAAATTTCTCTCGGCTAGTGTGTATGTGCTGATTATGCCACAGACTGTCCAAAGTTATATTTCTTGACCAATGTAGTAATGTACTGCATAACAGTATATTTCAGTAATGTACTATATATATTAATGTGGTCCAAGAAGATTATAGTGAAGCCCAAAAATTTCTATAACCTAGTGTGGTTATAGCTGTCATAACCTTGTAGAGTAACCAATTACCGATGTGTTTGTGGTAATGCTGGTGTAAATAAACCTACTGTGCTGCCCGTTGCATGTAAGTACACATACAATTATGTACACATAAAATTATGATCAGTAAATATATATACATATACAGATAAATATAAATAAATATAATTATACATATACTTTCATTTTGAAATCATTCCTGGTTCATAAGTTATCATTGTATATGCTTGTGAAATACAGTATTCTTTTTAAATAATTATTTTTACTTATCTATTTATTTGTTGTCATTTTTGAGCTGCCTGGTCCAGGACTTGAACCATGATCAGCGATATGGGAATCCACAACTTAGCCACCACTGCTGGATTATGTTTTTTTATATTACAACATCATTGTGCCTCTATTCTGTTTTTTATTTTCTTTGCTGTTCAGAAATATTTTATCTTATATAATCAAGTTTCTCTATTTTTGATGGTTTTGTGTATGCCTCACGGGTTTTATTTAAGTAGTCTTTGCCCACTACAACATGTTGTTGTTTTCCTACATTTTCCTTATTAGGTTTATAAATTTGGCCATTATATTAAAGGCTTTAATCCATTTTGAGTTAAACGTAACTGGTGAGAGATGATCTAGTTTTACTCAAATGTTGGTGAATATTGAGTTCTTCCAGAACCCTTTATTGAAAACTGTCTTTTTTCCACAGGCTTGAACTGTGGCCTGTGTCAAAAAACAGATGGCTGTATGTTAAGTTTGTTTCTGTTTATTCTATTCATTTGGTCTGTATGTCTGTTTTTTTATTTTTTCCAGTACCATGCCATTTTGGTGATTATGGATTTACAATATATTATGGAGTCAGGAAGTAAGATGCCTCCAACGTTATTCCTTTTGTACAGTATTGGTCAGATTATATGGGTCTTTTGTGATTCTGTATAAATTTTATAATTATTTCTGTGTAGAACACTGCTGGTTTTTTGTAGGAACTTTAATGAATTTGTAGATCACTGTGGTGTAGTATAGGTATAGCACCTATATTGATTCTTCAAATTTATGAAAAGGATTGTCTTCCTGGTTTTTGTGTATTTTTCAAGTAACTTGTTCAGCTTTTACAATTTTATTCATAGAGGTCTTTCACTTTCTTGGTGAGATTCCTTCCAAATAGTTTTTGTGGTTATTGTCAATGGGATTGCCTTCTTCATTTTTCTCTCAGTTTATTCATGGTGGAGAAAAATGCTACAGATATTTTTTGTTACCCAAGGCCTTATATACTTGCCAGAGAAAGTGATAGAGAGATGGAAATTCAGGAAGAGAGAGAAAGCACCCCAAAATGAAGTATATATGTCCATTATGGGTTATAAACCTACCTGGGAACTATCCTCTGGACTAAACTGACAGCCAGAGTGCTCAGGGGATGCTGAAATCCCTTTCCTCCAGTTCACCTTCCCATCAGGATTTTGGACACATGCACACATACACACACTCAATGTGTTTCCCAAGCCCACAGGGCCGTGGACTCAAACCACAGGTAATTATGTAGCATCTGGCTCCTTACACATAGTATTTAAGCCCTGTGCCATGAAGATAGCCACTGCAGATTTTTGAATGCTGGATTTGTATCCTATATCTTTACTGCATTTGTTTATTTCTTGTAGGAGTTATTTGGTGGGTTCTTTAGGTTTTCCTATATATTGGGTTGTAAAAAACAAAACAAAACAAAACAAAACAAAACAAAACTAGAAATGCATCTTGACTTTTCTAATGAACCATTATATAATCAAGTCAGCCACAAATAGGGACAATCTAATTTTTTCTTCTCTAATTTATGTGCCTTTTATTTTGTTCTTTCATCTGACTGTATTAGCTAGTACTTCCTATATCTATGTTGAATGAGGGAGAAGAAAGTGGACGTCTCTGTCTTGTTCTAGTTCGAAGTTGAAAAAGTTTCCACTTTTTCTCATTCAATATTATGTTAGCTTCAGGAATGTCACATATGGACTTTATTTGGTTATAAAATGTACTTTTTATGCCTATTTTGTTGATTTGTAACCATAAAGGACTCTTATATTTTATCAAATGCTTTTTATGTGTCAATTAATATGATCATAAGATTTTTGTCGTTTTTTTCTTATAATATGATCTATTACATTTGTTGTTTTATACATGTTGAATCATCCTTGTATTCCAGGAATAGATCCTATCTGGCAATAATGTATAATATTTTTAGAATGCTGTTGGATTGGTTTCAGTCATGAGATATGAGCCTATATTTTGCTTACATAGACATGTGCTACATTTGGTGTTCCTTAAATCTTTTTGTACATTCATATCAGTATCTGGTTTCAGTCTCTTTAATTCTGGAGAAGTTGCTTTCTTTTAATGTAGATCTCCTGGTGATAACTTATCTTCTTTTTTTTTCTTTTTTTTCTTTTACTTTTTTTCTTTCATTTATTTATTTTTACATTTTTCCACAAACATTTATTTTACGTAGCAAAAAATTTTAGCTCAAAATCCATAATTCTTGACAGTTTACCAACAACTTTCAAAATTTCAAAATACTGAATTTTAAAGATAATGTTCAAAATATGTCTTATAATTTTGTATAATTTTATGACTCTATAACAACAGAAGGAGTATGGTTTCA